TTTAATGCTATTGCGAAGTAAAGGAACTTTTCTCTCCCTTATATCTTTCATAAGTACGATCTTATCTATGTAACTGTGTCTCTACATCCCTTGTGGACTTTGGCCGCCTTTTCAGTTCCTTGATCCTATACACAGTCGGTAAGGCTCCTTAGACGGGGATCAGTCCATCGCCAGGTCGCTACTTACACAAAGAACGACACAATGACAGAATAAGCGCACACATAGACATATTGGCCTCGTGTGGGATTCGAACCCACGATCCCAGGGTTCATGTCTTAAACCGCGCCGCCGTTGTGATCGGCATGTATGATCTTATTCTGAGCATATTAAAAAAATAGTAACCACAGATAAACATTTTCATTTCATTGCCGAGATTATGAATGGTGACTTTTGTATCTCTTGGAAGCTGCTTTTGTAACCCTGAGGAAACGGCGTCAAGGTTTAAGAAACCCTGCTACACAGAATTTGGAGCCTATAATTTATCTCAAAATTTGCATTATAACAAAACACAATGGCGCCGAGAATACAGTGTTTTTCTTAGTGTTGTTTTTGTTAACATTACTAATTTGTACTTATCGACAAATATTATTAGAATGAACGAATCAACGAGGGTGAGATGGGCTGAGAATGAAGCGCGCATGTGAGCCAAGAAAATTGCGTATAAAGTTTTAGCAGTAAATCATGAAGGAAAGAGATCACAAGGAAAACCTAGAAGATATATGAGGATGTGTAGTGGAATACTCAGGCTTTGGATAGTTATCAGTGGCGGATTCTTGTGAAGAGGATAATGAATTTTCAGATGAATAAAATGCAAATGATCTCTTGACTATCTCAGCGAGTATTCACTTCTCAAGTGAGATTATGTTCATGGAGTTCTTTACGTGTTATTATTATTATTATTTCTAAATAGCAACATATAGTAGATATGTATTAATGAAATTATTATTATTATTATTATTACTTTGTTTGTCTGGTTGCTTACTTCTTGCAGTTAATTTGTTTTTTCTCGTGTACATACCTTTAATTGGTCTTTGATATTATGTTGTGTTTTTCTATAATGTAATTATTTGTATGTACACTGTGCTGTGTCTGTAATTGGAATTGTATCTATTGACTCGGCACAGCAAAATAAAGAATTGAATTGAACTGAATTGCTGTACAATCTGCCTTATTTTGCAAATTATTTTAATATTTTTGTTGTTTCTTTCTACATTTTCGTGCTAACTTTTCAATTAGCCCCTGAACTGTTATGTTTGCACGTAAATAAATAAGAACTGTAAACTGAATTATTACTGTTATCAGTAGTAGTAGTAGTAGTAGTAGTAGTAGTAGTAGTAG